CACTTGGGGCACTAGGCACTCAAGCTTCATGAAGACATTCTACATCAAAGAGGTATGTATTCTATCTTGTCATATTTATTATTTTGTATGCTAGATTAGGATAATAACTTGGATGTTCATAATTGTATGTATAATAGAGAAAACATAGATCCAAGGTATTTAGGGTTGCATGTACACTTAGGAGTGTTAGAATGCTCATAACCCAACAGGCACTACGCTATCTTACGATTTCAAGAACACTACTCTATTACAATGATTCAAGGACACACTACTAAATATTTATTTAAGTATAATTATTTTACATTACAAAGTACATTATTACTAGGTAATACATACAACTTCAAGTACAAGAGAACACTATAACACTACACGTAAACTAGTTAATACAGGGTTGTGAGGCACTACTTCGGGGTACCCATTTGGGTACAAGTTCAAGTCCTATAAATTATAATCAGAGTCTCCTGGATGGAGAGCGTGAAATTTGTGTATAGATCTATACGAGACTGACAATCTCACACCTGAGCTGTTTGCCATAGCTAGGCCGGCAGGCCTGGGGTGACAAATGTCATAATATACCGACGCCTGAAGAACGTCGTGGAGGCCACTAGGTCATATTAGTATGGTTATATGAAACTCACAATAGTATTAAATAAACGGTGTTTACGGGATTAACACTACTTCATAGGTTTTATTCTAATAATAAGGCCACACCGTTTTACAAGCCCGAAGGGACCTATAATGTTAACACTATGATTCCTTAGTTTATGCATTAAAGGTTATTTATATTTATAGGGTCCGATAGGTAGTAGGATGGGTGATTTCCGCTTCATTTCCTGTTCCTTGTTTGGTTGTGGGCTTAGAGGAGATTCACATAGTTTACTATCTATTCGATCTTGGTTATACATGACCTGTATACCACTAAGTAATCATAGGGGGAAACAGGTATGAGTCAGGCCACTATATACAAGTACAGTACATTTTCTAGTACAAAACATACTTTTCTGAAAGAACGTATAATAAGGTACAGGCATACAAAAAGGGTTGCATTACAAACACAACCGTATTACATTACTTTTCCAAGCATGAGTCAATAGAACTTACATTTTATTACATCAGAAAATATAGGATTTTCTGGAAGAATATACTTACATTTCAAAAAGAACCATTACTGTTAACGCTATAAGTACCTAGTGAATGCGTTAGGGTTATATACAATGAAGATCCGACAGACAGTGGAATGTGTGATTTTCGCATCATTTCATGTTCCTTGTTTGGTTGTGGGCTTAGGGCAGAACCACACAGTCGATTGTCTGCTCGGTCCAAAATTATATATAGCTTGTATCCACTAAGTAGTCGTAGAAGGAACTAGCATGGATTACATTTCTTACCTTCATTACATTAGAAAATATAAGATTTTCTTGAGGAACACATTAAGGTTTTCAAGGAACAAAGAACATGCTTTCTAAAACAAAATGCTTATGAACTCACCAACTTTAATGTTGACACTTTCAAAACCACTTTTATTCTCAGGGCACTAGTAGACAGGTACACGTATAGGGTTCTAGAAGATGGAGTATAGTAGCTTCAATTCTTGTTTTGCTATTTACTTTTGGAGTCAATCATGTGTGAATCGAATACAATGTAAACACTATATTATTAATACAATGGTTGTTGTTGCTTTGATTACTATTATATAATTGTTGTGATACTGTACATGACGTCCTCCGTCCCCGAACGTTTCCATCGTTCCGGTTTGGGGTGTGACATATCTAATTTTTTGATTATGAAACATAGTGAAAAAGAACTTAATGAGGCAATTAAAGAAACCAAGTGTTTCTGTCCAGTGGTAGTTAAAGGATTGATGAGTGTGGTAAAAGAGGAAACAATAATTCAAAAAGAAGTATTGGAGATCTTGAAAGATTTCAAGTAGTTGATTGCATAAGAACTAGCGCAAGAATTGCATCCTATGCGCAATATTCAACATCCAATTGATCTTATTCCGGGATAAAGCTTATCAAACCTTCCCCATTACCGTATGAGTCCTAAAGAAAACGAGATTTCGAGGGAACAAATTGAAGACTTGATGAAGAAAGGATTCATTCAGGAGAGCATGAGTCCCTGTGCAGTCCCGATCCTTCTTGTTCCTAAGAAAGGAAACCAGTGGAGAATGTGTGTTGATAGTAGAGCCATCAACAAGATAACTATCAAATATCGGTTCCCAATAACTCGATTTGGAAGACATGCTTGACGAGTTAACTGGTTTTAAGGTTTTTTCTAAAATAGATCTTCGCAACGGATACCATCAAGTCTGAATTAGACCTGGAGATGAATGGAAGACCTCTTTTAAGAGCAAAGATGGGTTATACGAGTGGTCAGTGATGCCTTTTGGGTTGTCAAACGCCCCTAGTACCTTCATGAGACTAATGAATCAGGTTCTTCTCCCATTCACCGCTTCTTTTGTGGTGGTTTATTTCGATGGTATTCTAATTTACAGTAAAACCAAAGAAGAGCACTTGGAGAATGTAAAACAGGTGCTACAGGTTTTACAAGAGAACCAATTGTACATAAATATGAAGAAGTGCACATTCAACACGAACAAGTTGCTCTTTTTAGGCTTTATGATTGGAGAAGAAGGAATTCATGTTGATGAAGACAAAGTAAAAGCTATCAGGGAGTGGTCTACCCCTAAATCAGTCACCAAGGTACGCAACTTTCATGGACTTGCTACCTTCTATAGGAGGTTCATAAGAAATTTCAGCAATATTACTTCTCCTATCACTGAGTGCTTGAAGAAAGGAAAGTTTCATTGGGGCGTTGAACAAGAGAAAAGTTTTCCTATAATTAAGGAAAAGCTTTGCATTGCACCAATTCTTGCATTACCTGATTTTGACAAGAATGTGATGTCAGTGGAGTAGGGATAGGTGCTGTCCTGTCTCAAGAGAAAAGGCCAGTAGCTTATTTTAGCGAGAAATTGAGTGAGGCTCGGCATAAATGGAGTACATATGATCAAGAGTTCTATGTCATATTTAGAGCTCTAAAACAGTGGGAGCATTACCTGGTTCAAAGAGAATTTATTTTACTCACTGATCACCCAACTTTGAAGTTTCTTCACAGCCCAAAGGTGATAAACAAAATACATGCTCGATGGGTAAGTTTTCTGTAAAAGTTTCCATTTATCATTCAACATAAATCTGGAGCTCTTAACAAAGTAGAAAATGCTTTAAGTAGAAGAGCTTCTTTGTTAATTACCTTATCACAGGAGGTTGTGAGTTTCGAGTTTATGAAGGAATTGTATGAAAGAGATGTTGAATTCAAAGAGTTATGGGCCAAGTGCAAAACAAACCATACTTCCGCAAATTTTCACATCTTGGATGGCTATTTATTTAAAGGAGATCGGTTGTGCATCCATTGTTCGTCATTGAGAGAGAAGTTAATTCTTGATTTACATGGTGGTGGTCTTAGTGGACATTTTGGTAGAGACAAGACCATTGTTGGCCTAGAGGAGAAGTATTACTGGCCACACTTGAGGAAAGATGTTGGTACTATTGTCAAAAGGTGTTATATTTGTTAGGTTTCAAAAGGGCAGTCTTAAAATACCGGTCCTTATATGCCTTTACCCGTTCCGGATGATATCTGACAAGACTTATCTATGGATTTTGTGCTAGGATTGCCTCGTACACAACGAGGTGTGGATTCTGTGTTAGTGGTAGTTGTCAGGTTCTCCAAAATGCCACACTTTATTGCTTGCAAGAAGACTGCTAATGCATCCAGTATAGCCAAACTGCTGATGCATCCAGTATAGCCAAATTGTTTTTCAAGGAGACTGTGCGTCTTCACGGAGTTCCTAAATCCATCACTTCTGATAGAGACACCAAGTTTCTTAGTCATTTCTGGATCACTCTTTGGAGGATGTTTGAAACAACATTAAACAGGAGTTCTACAGCTCATCCACAAACTGATGGACAAACTGAGGTAACCAATAGAACTTTGGGGAATATGATCCGGAGTGTTTGTGTGGATAAACCAAAACAGTGGGATTTGGCTTTGCCTCAATTTGAATTTGCTTACAATAGTGCAGTGCATTCTGCGACAGGGAAATCACCTTTTTCTAGTATATATTTTTGTTCCTAAGCATGTGGTTGATTTGGTTAAGTCACCTAAGGCTCTTGGGGTCGGTACATCAGCTAAGACTATGGCTGAAGAGATTTTAGCTATTAAAGAAGCAGCTAAGGCTAAGTTAGAGGCTACAGGGAAGAAGAATAAAGTTGTTGCTGATATGCGTAGACGGGCTAAAGTTTTCCAAGAAGGAGATGACGTGATGGTCTTCCTCTGTAAAGAAAGGTTCCCAGCTGGCACGTATAACAAGCTGCAACCACGCAAATATGGACCATTCAAAGTGTTACGGAAGATCAATGATAATGCTTATGCCAGAGCTCTCCCATAATCTATGAACATTTCTATTACTTTTAACGTAGCTGACATTCATGAGTATCATGCAGATGAGGTTCTTTATCCAGAAGAAAACTTGGGGACAAGTTCTTTGGAGGTGGAGGAGACTGATGTAGGAGCGACTTAATAGTTTTCCTTTTTTTATTATTGTTATTTACTTTCCTTTTTTATTATTGTTATTTCCTTTATTATTATTTCCTTTTTATTATTGTTCTTCTCTATATATAGATAGCCTAATTTAGTTGCAAGATAACAATAGATTTGTCTTTTTAAGGTCATGATTTTCTCTATTCTGGCAGATTTCCAAAACGCTTCTTCTCAAAGTTCATCGCTTGTGAACTTGTTTTCATTCTAGGTTTATATATTTTGAGTGCGTGTATGAGGGACTTAATAGTTTTCCTTTTTTATTGTTGTTATTTCCTTTCCTCTTTTATTATTGTTATTTCCTTTATTATTATTTCCTTTTAATTATTGTTCTTTCTCTATATATAGAGAACCTAATTTAGTTGCAAGATAACAATAGATTTGTTTTTTTAAGGTCGTGATTTTCTCTATTCTGGTGGATTTCCAGAACAATTCTTCTCAAAGTTCATCGCTTGTGAACTTGTTCTCATTCTATGTTTATTTTCCAACTGCGTCCCTTTTGAATTGATTTTGAATTCTGCAGCACATCAAGATTCAGTAATCTGAGTTATCAAGATATCACAAAAACTGGAATAAATATTAATAGCCTATATATTTGAACGTAATGATCTTGTACATTTGAACACAACAAAATTCATGATTTGAGATCTTCATTTCCTAGTTTTAAGTTGGATCTCAATAAGGAAGCAACATTTATTATCATCTCTAACATAATGAACATGGCCTTTCATGATGCCAAGAAGTTTCCTAGAAATATTCAAAGCAAGTCCTTCTTGGGTACCCCATTGTTTTCGGTCTTCATACATGTCTCCGATGATATTTGCTGGCAAGCCTGGACCAGGATGAGTCATTCTACAAGAACAAGATAGTCCATAAGGGTTAAATGTAAGAAATAACAACCTACTTATATTTATTTATGCATTATAAGATCTTACATACATTTCTTTCTGTAACACTATTGTAGTTAAAATCTTTCTTATCAAGGCATTGTACTTTTAAAAGTATAGCCAATTACAACATTTGGCTTTCAAGTTTCTCTTAATAGGACATTATACTTTGAAAGATGTACCCAGACAGCACTGAAAATTCCTTTGTATGCGGATAACGTTGCTACAATCGGGTAGATTTTGAATGGACTACCCGAATTCATATATACATTAGTGCTAAATGCAAGAACTAGCAATGAACTTTCATTCATTAATGTATTATAGTATCATCCTTAATTTCATCCTATTACGTTATTGTAATTTCAGTTTTTATTATTTAAGGACTGTACTTTGAAAAATCTACCCAAGTATATCATTGTACTTTCGTTTCTTTCGATTACAATTCTGTATTTTCAAACTTTCTTATTAAGGGATTGCATTTTGAAGTATTTACCTAAATATAGCATCGTACTTTCATTCGTTTTGTTATTAGGACATTATATTTGAAAATTTTACCCAATTATAGCATCAAAAAGAATTTGAAGTAGGATGTTGTAATAAACAAATCAATGGAAATATGTTTCTATTTCTTGAATTTATCCTTATACATAGTACCTCCTAAAAGCATCTTGTTTTGGCATCCATGTTTAATCAACTCATTGTCTGATTCAGATACTTCAAGCCATAAAAAGGAGATAAGCACAGACATAAACTATACCTGAACTGTAGATGAATGAATTCATGCCCATCATGTATCATCCGTAGTCCAGGTGACACTTTGATCTCCACCCACCCGTCCTGTGAAGGTGCATGATGCACAATGCTGAGCAAGAAATCTGACAACACCATCTGCAGCCTAAGTTGATCACCAAGAAGAGCAAGTTTTTTTACTTGATCAGGTATTTCATGAACTAGTGGTATATTCTTTTCCTTCAACACCATCATGACTTGGCTCACAATGGCATCTAAAAGATTCTCCATCACAAATTGGTCCATGTTCAGCTTCATGCTGCTGCAAAATGAAAACTTTCACACCATTAACCATTAATAGTTAAACAGGTAACAGTTGATAACGAGTAATAGAGGTAATAGGTAATACTGGTACACTTTTGAGGTTGGCTTTGAGAAAACAACACATTTGAGGAAATGAAAGGAAAGAATAAATGCGGGCAAATTTGTAAAAAACTAGGACTTAATGGGGAAAACCTTGACGTTCCCTATTAAGTTGTTTTTTCTGAATTGATAAAAAAACACCAATATATAGCTTACCATATCAAGTTCTGTCCCCATTAAGACAAAAAAAAAAAAAAAAACACCTTAGAGAACTAAGACTCTTACCCCTCTTCAATACTTTTTATATCCAAGTTCTCAATGATTGATGCAATTTGTCTCTCACAAGCAACACTCGTCTCTAGATACTGCTTCTGATCATCCGAAACACCCGAGTTTTCAAGAAGTTTATGAGTGAACTGCAGCCCGTTTAAAGGGTTCTTGATTTCTTGCTTAATGTACGCCAAATTATCACGTTTCAATACAAATTCTCCTTCATCTTCACCAAAAGACACTTGCGGACTAGTCTGCAAGAAGAAAAAACACCCAACCACTTTTCCGCCTTCACCAACTTTTTTATTTGCTGTCAGATAAACCTCCACAAGATTCCCATCTTTCCCAAAAAATGAAAATGGCATATCGGAGGTATCATGACCATTGATTGTTCTATACAGCAAAATCGTAAATTTCATCAAAGTGTCTTCATCTTTGAGGCGACATAGACCCCCCAAAAACCTCCCCAGGAAGCACTTTTCCGATAACTTCATGTCTCCGGCGACCGGAAAGCTCTTCCATGGCGGCGTTCCATTCAGAACAACAGGCCTTCTCATTGGAAGCAAATAAAGGAGGAATTAATGGATTTAGAGTTTGTATAATCGCCTTATAATCTCCTTCCATGCGTACGAATTTATCCATGACAATTTTCTCGGTTGTTACATCTTGACCCACAAAGCATACTCCTATCACATTGTTCATGTAGTCCCGGCTTGTGCATGTATTAGCCATGATGTATATAGTGGTGTTGTTTTTCTGATCTGTACCAGCCTTCCGTAGTTCCAGTTCAACATTTTTCTCTTCCTCACCTGTATAAACAAAGCATGTGAGACTAGAACTACCCCGAGAAGGAGAACTCGGTCAGAAGATAAAAATTGACTTAAGAAGGAGAAAAATTCAAGATATTAATATGTAATATGTATATTGTAAACTTTATCTAACATTCTAACTCTAAAACTAAAGTAAATATTGTACCAGATAAACGTATCGTATATGCTTTCCCCTCTCTCACCCGCATCTTTAAGAATTTCAAGATTAAAATGTTCATTATTTTAAGTTTTTAACTAGTGTAACATTCGAACATGTACATTTTTATTTCTATTTCCCTATTTTGTTATGATCTTGATCACCTTATAATTTTTTTCATATATAAAGTTTCCCAAAAATTAGTTGTTTTACAATTTACTCTAACCAAGTACTCCCTGCCTAGGCTTAGTACTCACTACTCCCTGGTCGACCGACCTAGTAGCGCCTAGCGAGTTTTGCAATATTGGTGGATACCACTAAAATCACCAACAAGATTATCCACCCGAGTTCTTTAACCAATTTGCAATGTATGAGGAACCCGTACTAACTAGGTCTATGATGGGGTATTGTGTATATTTATGAGGAAATCTCATACTTTAGAAGGTTAAAAGAGATGGGGTTATCTCCCTAGATCAAGCCGTGCCACTCAAATGTAAGAGCAATTGGATACGACACTTGACAAATGGATTACAAGATTCCATCAACTCATTCAATGGACTTGTACTACGATAATGAAAAAACAATAAAAATGTTATAACTACGTTTTGATACATATTGACGTAAAACTGGTGAGACGAGATTGTTCATACGTGGGTGAGTCAAGATTTAATGATCTTCATGGGCTCCAACTTAGGACTTAATTAGACCCCCACACACACACATTTTTTACATAAAAAGTTGCAAAAAAAACTAATAACTAAGTTGCACTATTATGAATTCTTCAATTGAAATTAAGTACATAGATTTTGATAAAAAGATGTACCTTTCAACGCTCTACGGAGAAGATCTTCAACGACTCCACGTGACGTTTCAAGAATAAATTCATCAATCAAAGACTTCCCCATAGCTTCACTAGCCACCACACCGGTCAACTCTGCAATTTTCGCATTCCATCCATTGATCAAACCAGATCCATCAACCCCAAAGATCGGGACAGACGCCGTTTCAATCAATCTCACCATTTCACATGCAACCGCACGGATTTCATCCATCCCTTGACCTATACTCTCGCTTTCTTGAACATATTTCACCACCTTACGACCATCGCCACCATTATCACCAATATCTTGAACGGATGCTCTCATTATCAACTGCAAAGAATGAATCACATTTATCTCAGAAACTTCCCAGGGCAAACTTCGACTCTTTGCCACTTCAAGAAACGCCTTAAAAGAAGATCTTGGATCCATTCTATTACCATCATCTTTTTCTTCAGGATGATGCTTTGCCCCTCCCCAAATCGTTTCTTTTTCTTTATGTGATCTAAACCAAAACAAGAAATCTTTAGAAGTGATTCGTGCAGCAGCCATACCACAAACAGCATCACCAAGCAAAACCGCACCAGGATAACCAGCATTTAACAAACTCTCGGTACTAAACCCCGTTGAGTCTTTATGTTCACTATACAACCAATTAGCTATATCCACAACTTGTGATTCATTTGGAGTTACACCAAGTAACAAAATTTTCTCATTGTAATACAAAGCCGCCCCATCACATTTACTAAATCCATTATGCTAGGAGACTGAGTTATAATCGAAAAAGGGGAATCTCTTAGTACCATGTCACATAAAGTCGTTTGCATACTGAGTACCCTTTTTTCGGCTTTCTGTTCAGCTAATTGAAGTTCCATATAAAGCTGTAAACCAACCGATTGCATTAGAAACTCACACGCATATCGAAGTGGGAACGGGACATAACGAGGTGAAGTATGGTGGCAGGCCACCAACCCCCATAGCTTCATGGATGCATTGTTATTTACAAGAATTGCCATCACTAAAGACCCCATAGAACCCATGTTAGCCATGTAAACCGCATGGCACCCATGTGGGGCTCGTAGGGTAGAATTAACCAAACATAAAGGTTGCTTTAACTCGTCACTTTGAATCACTCGAACAGATTCCGCACAACAATCAACTATTATCCTTACACGATTCTGTTTGAACAAGAATCGAGCTGCTTGTGGGATGTCTGTAGCTGGATAGTGAAGTCCCAAATACGGTTCTAAATCGGATCTTCTAATTTCTGAAACAACTTCACCGTGTTCATCGTCATGGAACTTGTAAATCATTACCCTATCATAACCTGTAAGCTTTTGAACTTCTTCTACAACAGTATCACATAGAGCCCCGATATCTCCTCCGGGGAGAGATTGCAGTCTAGAACTTGCTCTAACAACAAGTTTTTGCGATTGAACTGCACCAGCAAGTAATAAGGTGGGATCACTAGAGTTAGCTGGCTCTAAATCAATCACAACACCCACATCAATCCTATGAAGGATAGCGTAAAATGGTTTATGGGTCTTTTTAGAATGAACCCAAATCGGGTTTAACAAAGTGATTTCTGTAGAAGCCACAGCTCTTTGTAACGAAATCGAAGAACTTGAGGTGAAAAGGGTTCTAGCATCGATTCCGAGCAGACTTTTGGGCTCATCCGGATTCAAACTCAACATGCTGAAGCAGTTTTCACTAAAACTTATAATTCTAAAAGTGGGTTCTTCAATTGCGACCATACAACCAAATGGTTGAACGAAGCGACCCCTTTGAATTGCTTCTAAATAAGCAGTCATTTCTTTTTCCGCCACAGCTTTTGGTGAACTTGTGAGCATATCCGAGTAGTTAAAAGACTTACCAGATCCGACAGAACGCTCAAACTCTGATAATAACCTCGCATCAGCACCATACTGAGCCAAGGTGTGGCTGTTATTCGTAGGGTTCATGTTGCTTCCACCTGATGATGATGAAGCTGCCGCAGTGGTGTTATGGTTGTTAATGGTTGGTTCGTCTGGCTTTACTCCTCTAATTCCTAATTCCATCTTTTAGCATTTCTATGGAAGCTTTCTTTCTGCTTCTTGAGAAAATTGAACTGGGTTCTATGCAAAAGGTTAGCAGAAGGTATAAAATCAGCACTCTTGTTGTAAATGATTGAGTTTCTTGTTCTTCAAGTCTCCACATGTTGAGTTCATTTGCCAGTACTATCTTCATCTTAACATCGAATTCTTCGTTTCACTTGGCTTCTTCATTAGAATAAACTAGTCATAACTCGGGATTAACTTCAGAAAAAACCGTGCCATTTCTTATTGAAAAGATAAAAAGAGAGAAATACTGGATCTTTATAAAGACGGTGTGGACCAAGAAAAAGGCAAAAAGATTACACAAACGAAAAAGAAGATTCCGAGATAATAAAGGAAGAGAATCACAAATCCGTCTGTCACAATCTGTATCTCATCCTCATCCTCAGAACTCGAAGCTCCTAATTCCAAAATCTGCCTTCCAAAATGCCTTTGTTCAAGAAAATAAATTTTCATCAGACTACGACAGATTTGCAGGGGTGACTAAATGGTAAGTGACGTTGGACTGGTATGAAAAATAGAAGTAAAAGACGAACTGGAAAACCGAAAACTGGTGGTTTAGAATAGACATCGGAAAGAGGGGTTGGGTAGCTTCCAATCTAATATCTATCCATTTGAAGTAATTTGGAATGTGGTGGGGGAAAGATGACAGGTTTAATTAGCCGCCACACGTGGTGCAAAAGTTTCAACTCTCTTAGACTTAAGACTACCCAAATGGGGGGTTTCCTGTCTCACCAAAAATCAAATAAAAAGCGAAAAATGAAAGATTGGCGTGGCATAAATGGCACCAAGCATTCACCATTTCTTCACACCACATGATTTTTAAAAATAAATTTTTATAATTAAAACTAGTTTTATTAATAACTATATTTTATCTTTTAATAAAGGATGTGATGGTTAGGGTTTGTACATTTTATCTTTAATTTCTTGGCAAGGTTATGACCACGACATGGGGGCCGCCAGAGTGAAAACCCTAATTTCCTGGGTTTTGGGCCTTATTTAAGGGATGTGATGGTTAGGGTTTGTACATTTTTGATCTTGTGACCTCTTTGTGGTGATTTTTAGCCTCTTGAAGAAGAAGAAGGTGTTTTGGTGCATTGTTCCAGCAAGCAAACATCTCCCTCGTCATCTTGTGTAGCTTTTGGACCCTTGTAAGTCCTCAGCTTCTACCTTTTGTGTCCAAGCATGCTAGATCTAAAATTTTGTCCATTTTCCTCCATGTTGTAGGTGGATGGAGCGTGGGGATTTCATAAAGTTTGCAACTTTATGAGTCCTTGAGTCTCCTTTGTGGCCTCTTGTCCCAGATCTGGAAAGTTATTGAGTTATGAGTTGCAGAGATGAGCTCTTAATCTCATTTTCACCATTTTGACCTAGTTTGAGCTCAAAACATGCATTGGACATGCATGTCTATAAAACAAAAATTTGTATGGAGTATTGGGAGTAAGAAAGCCCTCTGGAAAGTGCCAATGAGTGGCTTGAAGGATTAAGGGCTTAACGCATTAAGACGTGACGGGTTTATTCCCACGATATGGCGATAAACAGTCCTTGCGACTGTTTTGTCTCAACGCTGCCAAGGTGTGGCCTTTGGGTGCCCACAACGTGGGGGTCGGTTGGGGCTAACTTTGACCATTGACTTGACCGTTGACTTTTTGACCATTGTTGACTTTGGTCAAATTAATGGTTTTAGGGTGTAGACTAAGAGAGTACTCATATACAGTGTTTAGGTGTCTGGTAGTAACGGTCTCCTATATTAGAGAGTTGTTGTGTTATCATGTTGTTTGCGAGGTGAGTCTTCTCACTATATTACGTATGTAACATCCATAAAAATCACAAGAAATTAATTAAGCTTCTTAAAACAATCCCAAATCATAGAGTGTTTACAAAATCATTGTTTTCAAAGTATTGTTCCATATCATAGTATCCTATAGATCAAAAGTACATAAAACAGAGGATGTGTACGGTCACACCTTCGTCTTCCCGCGATCATCAGAAGTACCCGAAACAATAAATAAAAACTGTAAACCAAAGATTAGTGAGTTACCCCAAAGTACCAACACACAAACACATAACATATACAACAACATGTCGGGTCCAATCAACCATCGGGTTGGAATACCGCAGGCCCAGTCATACTTCGGGTCCAATCATCCTCGGGATAGAATACCATAGGTGTAATGCCAATATACAATGGGTCCAGTCAACCATCAGGTTGGAATTCCCTAGGCCCAATCAACCATCGGGTTGGAATGCCAATATACAACGGGTTCAGTCATCATCGGGATGGAATACCCTCGGGCCCAATCAACCATCGAGTTGGAATGCCCCTGGTTTTTTGGACCACACACATAGCAGTAAAGCCTCAACCACCAACCAAAATATGTGCACATATAACAGATAAACATATAATCAGTCAACAGACAATCAGACAGATCTACAGATCACTAAACATAACATCATCCCATATACTAGGATACAGATCTAACAGATCACAACAGCACGATAACATACTATCACATAACAGGATATCTAATCCAGTGGGTCAGCCTTGGTGCCTTCGACCCGTAAGTATAGTGAGAAAAACTTACCTCTACTGATGATAACTGAAACAACACTCGATTCACGGCGAACACTACTCCTCACGCTAGACCAAAACCAGAAACAAACCCAATCAATAATTAGGGTTTAACCCTAAACCCTTGGTTTAGTCCGTTCCTCATCATGATGAGGGCAAAAGACCATTTTGCCCTTTATATACAAGCCCAACTAAACTAAGCCCAAAACCCCTAATGGACCAAGGCCGAAAATTGATCCATTGGGCTTCTGCTGAGAACGCCTGCCGTTCCACCCTATGACGCTTGGCGTCCGAATGTCGGGCGTTCCCATGCAAACGCCTGGCGTTTGCTTGCTGATTACCAACTTCCAAACCAATGTCTTAATGGCTTAAGATCTCATGTCCAAACTTCAGATCCAATCATAATGGAACGTCTAAATCCATAAAGTTGCAAACTTTATGGCCATGCATGGCTACAATGAGCCCAACACCAAGATCTTAACTCAAAATCTCCAAAACTCTTGCATGGAAGATTAAGAAGACCCAAGATTGCATTTTTATGATTCTAGACTCACTCTTATGCTTGAAAGGACAATCCAAACCTTTGGAGCATTCAAAACTCACAAAGATCAAGTCTTTGGGACCAAAAATAACATAACTAGACCCTAAATTAAGATCTAACAAATGAGAGATCAAGATCTGAACTTTATACCTCAAAATGATGCTCCAAGATGTCAAGAGTCTAGATCCACAAGCTAGAGAGCAACCACAATACTCCAAAGATCTTCCTTCTCTTATCAAGAACACTAAATGATACAAAAAAGATGAACCAAGGCTTCAAACTCTCATACACACTTAGGGTTTTCGAAATGAGGATGGAGGCTGGAGTGGTGAAGGGTTTTGAGGCCATAATGTGCTTTAAATAGGGTGAAAACCCTAAAAATTAGGGTTTGGTCTCTACGTGCAAATGTCCGACGTCCATCATAGAACGCCTGACGTTTGAACGCCTAGCGTTCTATGCCAAACGTCAGGCGTTTGGACCAAAGACCTCATCATCGAGACCAAATGCAATATAATTCAATTATAAAGTCAAAATTAGAAGTACCTCAACGTTGGAATGGTACAACATATGTCAAAGTAGGATGCATGTTAGACTAGCTGAGTCTTATTTGCTTATTGTTGTTATATGTGTTTATTGAGTTGCTGATAAATCCAGAACTACTGATAGTCCATAGGGTTGCTGATAACCTGTAGGGCTGCTATGAGCCTATATGACTGCTGATAGTTCTCAAGACTGTTGATAGTCTCGGGGTTGTTGATAACCCATAGTTGTTTATTATGTTGTGTTGTATGTGATATTTTGGGGAACTCGCTAAGCTTTACACTTTCCGTTGTGGATTTAAATGTGTTTCGGGTACTTCATATGATAGTAGGAAGGCGAAGGCTTGACTATATACTCACATTGGCAGTTTTTGTGATTTCTCATTTTATGATACTCTGATATTTGGGATGACTGTGTTTTGTTACTTATGGTTTTTGACTTGGGTTTTTCCTGGAAACAATGATTTTACTTAATTTAAAAATGAAAATTTTGGTTGTGAAATTAGGACGTTAGAAGTTGGTATTATAGCCCTGGTTTGAGGGATTTGGATGAACACTCGTGTGATTTCAGACTCAAACTAACGATTTGAAAATTTTCATAAACCCTTTTTTGAAAAGATTATTTCTTGAAGAAGGAAAAAGAAGATGTGATGTGTACAGTCATCCGGAGTTCGAGAAAAGCGATTTCCCAAAATATACATACTTGTTATATATGTTGTAATTGAATTGCTATTATATGAGTTGTTAGAGATGCATGCTAGTTGATAGCGGACCATAGGGTTACGCTAGGCGGCGACGCCTCAGAAGCCACGTAGGAGACTGGGACGGAGCGATCACGCACCAACCATGAATGTTAAGTCTGCGAGAGTAGCTTTCCTGGAACCTCCCCTCCCCAGCACACAACGAGAAAGTCTCCTAGCAACAAAATTGTGTCAGTCGACAACCTTAGTAGTGTACGCACCACCAAGGCCTTGCACGGACCAATCACACCCCAGAGAAGAAGGTATATGATACCTCCTCTAATCATCATATTTGTCCCGTATTAGAGCTGACATTCTTGTCTCCTCCGAGGAGAGAGCATTGTCCAGGTCAACTATATAAGGACAATGGCTAAGTTCTTCATTCCCCATTATTCTCAGAATACTCTCTCTAAGAAAGATCACTGAATTAACCGTCGAAGTGTCCTCCCAGGATCCTATCCCGGAGAATGGCAGACGACTCTTCCTTTGTGTTCCAGGACTCAATCGCAAAGTGAAGGCCCATCTGATACCACAAGAGTTCACTTCACATCATTTGATTCTGTCCCATGTTGTGAAAACCGAAAACAAAACCACAAACCGGTCACCGGAAACAATGGTGATAGAGGAAATGACACCAGGCCCTTCTGGCCCCCAAAGTCCTATGGTGATAGAGGAAATGACACCAGACTCCGACATCAACACACCCCTAATTACACACCCTCCGATGGCACTATCGCACCCATTCACACCAACCACCGTGCTTGGTTGCAACCACTCACACCAGTGAACACCCAACCATTCCAACTCGCAAGTCCATCCAATGGAACGCAAATGCAAACTCCTTTTCCGACAGTCAGTAAAATGGGAACCGAACATTTATCAGCAACCTCCATTCCTCCAACATAACCCAACAACAACTATGAACCAACTATCACGATCCATGATGATCCAACCAATGTTGTTTGCGATAACCCAGCCGCTGATATCCATCCCGATAGTCGACAATATGTTTGTGCAGATGAGTATCAACCAACAAACGCCATCGTATAACGCAACTTACTCACCGACAATAACATTCTCTCGCATACACGGTAACATTCCCATCTACCAAAATACTTTTCTGGCAAACACATTTTCTACCTTTTCACACAATACACCTTTCCCTTAGCAACCCATTTATAACTTCTCACAAATATACACAAAAACACCTTTCACAACCACAAACGCTTCATTCTTCGTCCCAAAACTACTGGACTACGATATCCCAAACATAACAAGTTTGTCCCACCTAAAAGTATAAAATGGCACAACATGACCTG